CCTTTACTGGGGAGATGCAAGAGGCAGCCCATGCTGCAAACAGGCAGCTTCGGGTCATTTCGAGCACAGCTTGGCACTGTTTCCAAAACCCCAAGCAAGAGCAAACTCCATGCTGAGTGCAGGCTGCCTCTGAGGCTGCTCAGACAATAAACCCAAAGGCAGGCTGAGACGGCAGGTCTCCCCCCTCCTCCGCCCGCCGGGAATTGCTCAGTCACCTGCACCCAGAACGGGACTTTGTCCCCGCCGTTAATTTATTCCCTGTGAATTAGTGGGGCCCCGGGGACACGCGCAGCCCACCTGTTCCTCGCGCCTGCCGCTGACATTTGGAGCCGCGGCGGCAGGTACTGGCGCCGGGAAATGGGCCCATAAACCATCCGCTAACGCGGCGCCAGGGAAGACGGGGGGCTGCTGCCACGAGAGCGTCACGCCCGGTGCCGGGACAGACACGCACAACCGATGCGTTTTTCAACAGTCCTGATTTTCCCCCAGTAAAGCAGCTTTTAATAACCCAATTGTGGGGATTCACCCCATTTCCACAGACTTTTCCATCAGTACCCTGTGCTGCTGATCATCAAATCTCCCCGCCCGGTTCCGTTCTTTCCGCAGAGGTCACGCTCACACGAGTATTACTCCATTTATTCCAGGCGCACGACACCGCTTTAATTGCTGCCGCTCTGGACTCTAAACAAATTGGCCCTAAATGCATTTTTGCAAGACAAGATGTATTTTGTTAAAAGGGGACGGGAGGAGGGCAATTTTTAAAGCCGCTATCACCGTAATGCGATGAAATTGCCGTGTAGCACGCAGGGGTCTGAAAGCTGCAATTAATATCCCACACCTTTCCCAAGCCTTTGTGTCATGACAGCCCTGGAAAAACGCCGGCTGGTGCGGGGCTGCAGCGGGGACCGATCCCCCCGCTCCTCCCCAGGACCTGCAACAAACAAAAACCCAGCGGGCTCCCATCTCCACACCGGTTCTTGCCTTGCTCGCTCCAAAAAGCGTTGGCAAAAAAAGCGTTGGCAAACGTACGGCTGCGTACCTGCCTGGCTCCATTTCTGGATGCACGAGCCAGCGCCAGCCCCGTTGGGGGATGCCAAGCACGGCGTGGCTCTACGCGCTGCAGAAATGCAGGCGGAGGGGGAGAAGAGAGCCCCTGTCTGTGTTCCCATTAAATACACGCCGTAGGGTGGGCATCGGGCACCGGTGCGGCCGCAGCAGACCCAACCCGCAGGAAATCAAGTGCATCAGTTCCACCTCTTCGCTTCTCGTACCGCGGAGCTGGGAACAGTCGGATTCACGGCCAGTCAAGGGAGAATAAAGAGGCTGTGCCCATCCTGACCAAGACCCAAAACGCTGCCGCACAAATTTTCAGGAGTCATTTTCTGCATACCCCAGAGCCACGGGGGTGTGCTGGGTGGGATGCTAACGACCCGGCTGAGCAACCTGCTGCCGTCACAGCTCCGTCAGGCAAAGGGAGGACCGAGCTTCAGGATGCATCCTGCCGCGATTTCCAGGCAAAGCACTGACACCGCTGCTCCTCGGCAAGCGCTGGCGAGATGAAAGCCTTATTTATGGGTAACATATATCTGCAGAGGGAGCAATAAACCGCACAGCAGAGCACGCGGGTTTGCAGCAAACGCTGTAAAGTTTTACACTCCCGAAAACTGGGAAGAAAAGATGTCCCTGTTTAAAACAAAGTGGAGGGAAAGTGTTTCCACAGGACTGTAAAACGGCCTCAGAACAGTTAATTGCCAGTTTCTTGCTGCAGCACAGACACATTTCAACCAGAAGAGCAACAGAACAGAAAAGCAAGAGAGAGAAGAAGAAGGAGAGAAGGATGCAGGGGAATGGGAATCTTTTGTTCGGGATCCTCTGCACCATGCGGAGCAAGAGGCGGCTTTTGGTCCCGCACTGTGCGCCTGCTCCCGCTCCACACCACAGCCTGGGGAAGATCCCAGCAGCGTACCCGCTTCTTCACTGGATATAACTTACCTATGATCATATCGACACACACGCGACGGAGAAAAGCAGCCGAGCATCTGTGTGTGCGTCTGCCCCCCGGAGGAAGCGGCGGAGGGAAAGGTGCAGCAGGATTCCTTCAAGCCCAATGGGAAACTTGAGGTGGAATACTTCTGACCAAGTAAAATACAAGAAAAAAAAAATTTTTTTGCAACAACCAGCCACCGCGCTTCTGACCAGCTCCATCCAAAGCCCCGGTACAGCGGTGGATCCCATAAGGAATATCCGTGTTGCTGTCACGCCGCTCCCCAGCCCTGCCACCTCCTGCACACCCCCCCAGGGAACCTAACGATGCTCATGAGAGAAAGTTGGGGAGTTTGCAAAAAAAGCCCCCAAGGAGCTGCTGCATTTCAGAAAAAAAAATAATTTTATCTTTTAGAAGCACACCTGTCTGCACTTTTCTCAACTAACCAGAGTTCTCAACAACAGAACAGTTGCTCCCTTCTCCAAGGGGGTTCCACCCCTCCCAGCAGCACTCTGCAGGGATTTCTGGGTTTTCTGTGAGTTTTCCCTGCCTGCGCCGGCAGATTTTGTGTGTTGTGCAGGGAAGCGAGCCGAGCGATAGGTAAATATGGGAATGCTGTTGATATCCATCAGAGAAGCACTTAGGTGGGGACGACAATGGAGCCCGCCGAGCCCTAATCACACACTTTCATTGAAATAAAAGTACGGGGGAAAATGGAAATGAGCCGCCTCGAGCTGAGATTTCAATAGAGACAGAAAGCTGGGGAGGGGGGCAGAGCTGGCTGAGACTGGGTGGCCACATCTTAACAGCACACAGCCCCTCCAATGCTTCCCCAGGCTCTGGGGGCTTCACAGGGGGGCAAACCCGCCACCCCCCAACCTCCCATTCCCGCTGCAGTGCCGAGATGTCGGGTGGAGAGACAAAACCCCCGGTACCAAGAGGATTTGTCCTGGGGCTCCCAGCTGCGTGGCTGGGGGTGCCCGTGTGCTGCTCCGGGGGGCTGACAGCCTGCGGCAAAGACCCCCCCAGGTCCGCTTGCCATGGCCAGAGGGGTCTCACAGGGTGGGTGGCTGTGCCAGCCGGGGGTGTCGGTGCCGGAGCAGCAGGGAACGCGGATCTGAAATGATACGGCAGCTCAGCTGTCCGTCACTCTGCGTGGCAGAGCCCCCCCAAAGCAAAGGCCAATTACACAGACCCAGAGCCGGTAACGAGCCCCAAATGGATCATTTCGCTGAGCAGGAAGAGGAGATGCTGCAGGGACCTGGCGCGCGGGGCTCTGCTGCCTCTTCGTGGCGGGGGTGGCGAAGGAGGCCCCTGCCGCTGTGTACCCTCCGTGTCACTGGGACGACGGCCGGGGGCTGTGGGGACCCCGGTGCAGGCAGGGACACCCCTCAGGCAGGGGGCAAAAGTGGGGCACCGAGTTTTTTGGGGTGAGGAGCTGGAATTGCCATTTTCCAAGGAAAAACTGGAGAAATAAAAGCAACAACATCACCGAAACAGATGGGAAAGTTTAGCAGGGATGGGGAGCAATTCCTCCCTCCTGCGGGGGGGGGGGGACGGGCA